CTTCCTTCCTTCCTTCCTTCCTTCCTTCCTTCCTTCCTTCCTTCCTTTTTCTTTCTTTCTTTCTTTCTTTCTTCCTTCCTTTCTTTCCTTCTATCTTTTTTTTTTAAGACAGGATCTCAAGTAGCCCAGAATGACCTTGAGCTTGAACCTCTGTTCCTCCAGCCTCCACCTCCCAAGTACTGGGATCACAGGTGTGCACCATCACACCTGGTTTATGTGGTACGACGGGGGATAGAACCCAGGACCTCAAGCACAATAGGCACTCTACCAACTGAACCGTGTCCTCAGCCCCACACGAGTTCTATTTTAGCAATCCGTGCAGTCCAGCAGGAAAGTTGCTGATGGGGTCCCCCAGCTTTGGGGCTCTTCAGGTGGGTGGGAGGCAGTTGGGCTGCCTTTTCAAGTCCCCTCTGCACAGCTGACCCTGGGAAGTATCAGGGGAGATTGTCTTAACCCCTTCTCTCCAAAGTCCCCCAACAGCCTGCACTGTAGGGTGTCTGTGTGTCACACACATGTGCACAGTGTTAATATACATGGAGTTCTTATGTGTGTGTGTTTATGACTGCATGCATGTGTCAGCATATGCATGTCTGTAGTGGGTGGTCAGAACTTAACCCTCTCAGGCCTGCATGGACCTTCAGCACCCATTGCGTGGTAGATAACCATTCACCTCTCCTCTAGGAGAGAGGAGGCTGGGGACATAGCTCAGTCATTAAACTGCTTGGTAGGCATGGGTCTCAGAAACCACTGAGCACAGTCCCCATGCAGTTGCAAGTAGGCGACTAAGACCAGAGAGGGCTGAGACAGATTCTTTGATCTTTGCACCAATGTAAACTATAGGACATGGGGTGCACGTTTGTAGCCTTAGCATAGGAAGTCTAAGACAGACAGATTTCCAGAGCTTTCTGCCCAGCCAACCTGGCCCATTTTGTGAGTTCCAGGCCAATGAAAGACATGGCCTGAAAGGAAAAAAAAAAAAAAGGTGGATAAGGCTAGCCTGATGGCACATATCTTTACTCCCAGCATTTAGGAGGCAGACTAAGGCAGGTTTCTGTGAGTTTGAAACCAGCCTAGTCTATGTACCCAGGATGGCCAGGGCTACATGAGAATCTGTCTGAGAAAACAAACAATAACAAAAGACAAACAGATGGGCTCCTCCTGAGAGACAGCACCAGAGCTGGTCTCTAGCTTTCATATCCACCCGTGTGTGTACGACCACTGCCGTTCCCAGTCATCAACCTGTCAAGGTGGGTGGCCGTGGGCCATGGGCCCACACTACCCACCGCACACACACACACACAGAGGGAGAGAGAGGGAAGAGGGAGGAAGGGAAGGAGAGAGGGAGGGAGGGAGGGAGGGAGGGAGGGAGGGAGAGAGAGAGAGAGAGAGAGAGAGAGAGAGAGAGAGAGAGAGAGAGAGAGAGCGCTTCCCACACTGGCTTCAGAAAGGCTGAGGAGGATATGTTTGATCAAGTCTTATTCAGGAAACTATCAGAGGTGGTTGGCTGCTGCCTGCCACCCGAACCCCACCTACACCACAGGAAGCCTTGTATATACATCCCATCACTCAGCAGTGTGTGGGGCATTAGCCTCACCTGACAGCAGGGCTGAGGACTAGAAGGCCCCAACAACCTCAGCTGTGTATCTACAAGGAAGGATCTAAGCCTTGAAGGTGTATGGGGCTCCATTGTAGCTCTGAAAGTGCCCATAGAGCCGGGGTGACCCCCAGGCCCTCATCCGCATACTTGGAAAAAACAGCATCCTGGGAGGTGAGCCTTCAGGCTGAGTTCTCTCTCACCTGTATGGCCTGGGTTGGAAGCAGGGAGCCAGGGAAGATCCAGATTTCATGCTAACATTGCTTCAGACAGGGCATCTGGCAATGACAGGCTGACAATTCCACATCATTAAGGTCAAATTACATCAGTGGAGAGAACTTTGATTCTTTTGGAATGACAGTGACCTTTCAAAGCTACCTGGCTTTGTATCTTTGGCTGGCCAGGAGACAGGGAAGGTCAAATGACAATCCTTCCATAGTTTTCTACTTCTCACTGTGGGAGACTGGAGTGTTAGTGTCCAGGGAGGGTAGGCACATGCGCACACACACGAACACACACACACACACACACACATACACAGAGGCATGGTGCCAAGACCCAAGCTGAATAGCCTGTGAGTCCAGGATGGGTGCATGGGAGCCCCTGGGCAGTATCAACTGACCTTTGAACTTCCTGACTGAGGAAGGGCCCTGTGAGGATCTGAGGGTTCCCCTGTCCATCCAGCAAGCTCCCTGCTCTTCTCAGGCTGACTCCAAGAAGACTTCATGCTTTTGATACAGGAAGTGTCTTAAGTTGAGAGGCTTGCTCCAAGGGTTCTAAAGCTTCCTTTGCCGCAGCAGAAGGCTTTCTGTGGTTGTGGATGTGAACAACACCAGACCATCTGCCTGAGGGCTAGATGTGGCCAACTTACACCATTTTGATTCCTCTGAGCAGAGATACAGACGTGACTGTGGCAAGTAGAGCCTCTAGCAGCTCCTTGCTCTCTGTTCCTGAACAGCCCCAGATGACCTGGCATCAACCCTCCAAGACCTGCCATCCAAGAGAAGTGCCAGGGCAGAGCTAGACAGTGGGGCAGGGGTGAGAATTACCAGGAATCCTGGGCCACAGTATGCGTACTTCGCTGTGTGCATGAGGAGGCAGGACCTGCTCTGCTGTGCTGCCTCTGTCTCTCTGGAGCCAGAGCAAAGATCATCGCCAAATACTCAGCCTCACTAATTGAATACACAGCCATAGGGACAGGGACAGGGAAGGTCAAATGACAATCCTTCCAAGGGCTCCTGGATGTCTGCTCTTTACCCAAATCCCCTACTCATGAAGTTTCTAAGTGTGGGCCAGGAAAAGCGTGTGGCCTCACCTGGCACGCAGTGTGTCTGCCTGTAGGTGTTGGACCTACACTGAAGAATTCAGGAAACAGACCAACAAACAGACAGCTAGGAAGTCGTGAGCCTTGTGGGGTTAGTGCTTTGAAAGTGTGACACATTGGGAACTTCAATAATTTAGGGAGTGTTCGTACGTGTGTACACTCATGCGTGTGTATGTGTATACATATATGTGCCTCTGTGCATCTGGACTCCAGAGTCAACAGCAGGTGTCACCCTTAGGCACCATCTACCTTGGATTTGTTTGTTTGCTTGTTTGTTTGTTTTAAAGTCAGGGTCTCACTATGCAGCCCTGGTTGGCCTTAAACTTGCTTGTAGACGAGGCTGGCCTAGAACTCGAAGAGATCCATCTGCCTCTGCCTCCTGAGTGCTGAGATTAAAAGCATATGTCACCACACCTGGCCCACCTTGGGTTTTTTTCTCCTCGCTGGCCAGAAACTCACCAAGTAGGGCTGGACTGGCTAGCCAGTGAGGCCTGGGGGTCCTCTGGTCTGCCTTCCACAGAAATTGCTTTTTAAAGGTGGCTCCTGTAGATTAAACTCGGGTCCCTGTGCATTCAAAGCATTCATTTTAATCATTTGAACCATCTCCTCACTGTCTATAATTTATTTTTAAAAGAAACATATGCTTATTTATGTGACGGGGGTCAGTATGCACACCACAGCACATGTGGAGGTCAGAGGACAATTTGTAGGCATTGGCTTTCTCTGGCCATGTGGGTCCTGGGGGTTGAACTCAGATTTTCAGCTTTGGCAGCAAGCACCTTCAGCCACTGAGCTATCTCACTGGCCCTTTCATGTCACACTGATGATGATGCTCTGACAACTGATTAGCAGAACACCTGGAAATGGGTGTCAGCTTGGGTTTCAGCTGCACCCATACCTCAGCTTGTCCCCCTCCATCCAGAGATCCCCTCTGTGACACTCTTCCTGTCTCTATCTATGTTTTTACAGGCAGACAAGGGAGCAGGAGACACCACCTGACTTTTTTTATTTCTCTGATTACGAGAGGCACAATGCAGAGATCGCTGCCTTCCACCTCGACAGGTGAGTCCCCTCCCCTCACACTGCCAAGAGCCAACTAGATCCAGATTCATCTGTGTACTCAAGCGCGCCACCTACAGAGAAGCATAGGCCTGGCCCTAGAAATCTGTGCAGCCTCCATTGTTAACCTCCACAACTGCTCCATACTAAACCTTCAAAGATCCACCAGTGTGTGTGTGTGTGTGTGTGTGTGTGTGTGTGTGTGTGTGTGTGTAGCAAGCACATAACGTGTGCATGCTCGTAGAGACTACAGGAGAACCTCAGGTATCATTCTTCAGGAGCTGCCCACTATTCAGAATCACTGGAACTCCTCAAGTCGGCTACATTGCTGGCTGGCTGGCTGGCTGGCTGGCTTGCTGGCTGGCTGGCGTACCCCAGGAATCCTCCTGTCTCTGCCCCTCAGTGCGGGAATTATAAGTGTGTGCCACCACACTTGATTGCTAGAGACTGAACCCAAACTAAGCTGTCTCCCCAGTGCTGCATACTGTCCTCACTGCATTTGTGATCCTGGTGGGCACCACCCTACCCCCTGTACCCAGCAAGCAGCAGCAGGAACAGATGGCACAACATTGGGAATAAAGGGAAAAGAAATAAGGTAAAGAGAAGGGCTCGGCATCGTGGGTGGCTGTGAACAGGTCAGGAAGGCACCTTGGAGGAAATGGTGTGTTGGTGACAATAGGTGGGAGGCTTTGTCACTTGTCTCCTGAGGGACAGCCTTGACCCAGCAGAACCTGGACCACTATAGATTCCACGTGGCCCTGTCTGTACCCTAAAGAGCTGTTCACAGGCCTAACCCTGGGGTCATCTCTGAGGGGTACAGAGGGACCTTTTCCCAGGCAATAGCAGAGGGATAAGGCTCGGTATTTATCCCTCGAGACCCTCTTGACTATACCACAGCTGTGGCTAGACTTAGATCTTAACCCAGCTGTCATGGGACTGCCTAGACTGCAGAGTCCAGGCTCCATCTTTCTTACAGGAGCCTGGAAGACTGGGGTAGATCACAAAGCTTACATGGGAACTAGAAATCCTCAGAAGCCTGACATTTAGGCATATAGAACCCAGAAAGCCTTTCTGTGACAATGGTGACTTTGCACCATGAGGTCACTCAGGTTGCCTACTTATAAAGCAGCCATGAGGCTGGAGAGATGACGCTGCTGTTAAAGTGCTTGCACATCTGGGGTCTATCCCCGGAACCTTTACAAAAAGAGTACATAGTACACACTTGCAATTCCAGTTCCCGGGAGGTAGAGACAGGAGGATCTCTGGGGCAGGATAGCCAGTCAGTTTAGCTCAATCAGTGAGGTCGAGGCTGCTGAGAGTCAAGGTTGATGGCTCCTTAGAAATGAACCCCAGGTTGATCTCATGTGCAGCACCCACATGTATGAACCCACATGTGTACACACACATGAAAACAGAGTCATGAAGCTTGAGGTGGCAGGATACTGGCTGCAGCTGTCAAGCAGTTGGGGCCCCTCATCATGGGAATGTGGTCTGTTCATCCCTCCACCAAGGACAACTCATCTCTACATCCTGTGTCAGCAGGAAAAAGCTAGCATTGGGCATCTCCATTTAATTAAGCAAGCAGCAATGTGTGCAGAAGGAGCCCCATTAAGAGTGGGTAATTTAATTTAATTTCCTTTTAAATTTAGCCCTGGAATGAGGGCACATTTTAGTTATCACATTGCCTGGCAGGGCCAGAGACAACGCATGGCACCTAAAGACTTCAGTCCTTCTGAGTTGCACACTTTCCTGGCACTGATGGTTCTGGGCTGTGCTGAGCCTGAGGGCCTCGTGTGGCAGAAAACTAGAGGGCAGAGGTAGAGGGATAAGGCTCAGTATTCATCTTCTGCTGCAGACCGTGAGAACCAGCCTCAAGAATAAAGAATCCTTCCCCCACCTTTTCCCACCAGGATCCTGGATTTCCGCAGAGTCCCTCCGGTGGCTGGTAGGATGATCAACATGACCAAGGAGATCCGGGATGTGACACGGGATAAGAAGCTATGGAGAACCTTCTTTGTATCTCCAGGTAGCTGGGGATGGGATAGGATGAGGGGCTCACAAGGCTTAGGTCACATGCTGGTCTTGGTCAGCTCTAAAAAGCCTACAGATTAGATTAGATTACTCTTCCTGTTGCTCAGATAAAATATCCTGTCAGAAGCACCCTCAGGAAGGAAGGGCTTATTTGGCTCACAGTCAAAGGGTTCACAGTCCATCATGGTGGGAAAGGCATGGCAGTGGGAGCCTGAGACAGCGGTCACATTGTATCCACAGTCAGGACTGTGAAGCAGCTGCTCACAGTGTAGCCACAGTCAGGACTGTGAGGCAGCTGCTCACAGTGTATCCACAGTCAGGAAGCAGAGAGAGATGGATGCTGGGACTCAGCTCATTTTCTTCTTTTCATTCAGTCTGAAATCTCAGCCCATGGGATGGTGCTACACACCTTGGTTAACCTAATCTCAAAAATTCCTTATAGACATGTGCAGAGGTATGTCTCCTAGGTGATTTTAGAACCTGTCAAGTTGATGGTCAATATTAACCATCACAGAAACCATCGAACTCATCTATCTAACAGCTGTTTCCACTGAGGGTGGCCATGCTGCCTCCTGTGTGTGACATGTATATGTGCCAATCTACATATATATGGTCTCTTATCGACACCTTCCTGTGCCCAGACAGAGGTGTTTCCACTGTGGTCCAGTGTGCATTTAAGTTAATTAATTTATTATTTGATTGATTGGGATCTTTGTTGTTGTTAGACTGTTTGGTTGGTTTGAGTCGAGTTGGGTTTGGGAGGGAGGACAGGGTCTCATTCCATAGTCTAGGCTGGCCTGGAACTCATTATGTATACCAGAATGGCGCTAAACTCTCCATCTTCCTGCTTCAGCATCTTGAGTGCTGGGATTACCAGTGTGAGCCATCATACATGGCTGTTTGTTTGTTTGTTTGTTTGTTTGTTTGTTTGTTTGAGACAGAGTCTTGCTGTGCAGCCCAGCAACTGATTTACTCGATACCTCCCTGAGTCTCCATGTAGTGTTTAAGTCATTTACCAAGCCCGGTGCTCTAAATACAGACATCTGGGTAGTAATTCCCTCCACCACCAGGACAGGAGCCTCAGCCTCCTACCCCTTGCCAGCCCATGCTGCCAGCTGTCCCAGGTGGGTCACTATTCTCTCTCTGCTTTGGTCCATTTGGGGATCCACAGATGGCCTCTTAGCTTTGGTTCTGTGACTCAGCACTGTGACCTCAAGATTTGCCAGTGTCACTTCAAACATCCTCAGGGTCAGTCCTTTGTCCCTGGAGATGATTTGCCAGCAGTGGCATTCCACATCCAGCCCAGCTCATACCCTGTGCCCTTGGGTGGATACAGTTGAGGAGATCACCCAACATCAATCAGAGGAACTAGGACAGGCAGAAACAAGTCAGGAACTCCCTAGACTGTGTTTTCTATAGCCTAAAGCCCCCAGCAGTCCCAGTGAGGGATGGTAGATATGCATCTCATGCGGGTATGGGGGTTGAAGTGGCAGTCAGATGTGGGCTTCTGAGACAGGAACCATAAAGGTCATCCACTGCAGAGTCAATGTACTGTGGGCTTAGTCATTTTGAAATAGTGAAGGATTCTGGATTTTGTTTTATTTTATTTTATTTTATTTTTTGTTTGTTTGTTTTGCCCGTGAACATGCACAAGCAGTTGCACATGGAGCCCATTGGTCAATGCCAGGTATCTTCTCTTCAATCTCTCTCATTCTTGGGTGTTTGTTTGGTTTTGGTTTTGGTTTTTGGTTTGGGTTTGGTTTTGAGGCAGGGTCCCTCACTGAACCTGGAGCTTACAGATTCAGCTCAACTGGCTGGCCATTAAGCCCAAAGGATCCAACCACTTCCAGCTTCCGTAAGCTGGCATTACAGGCAGGAGCCACCATGCCCAGATCTAGCGATTACGCTCAGGTTCCTGAGGCCTTGTTCAATTTTAATTAACCAGAGATGGAGCTACATGCTCTTCTGAGCAGATGAGACGTCTTATGTTGGTGTAGGCTCCCTCCCAGCCTCAGCAGGGGACCCCAGCTCATTGTCCTGCACATCCCACGGACTTCACTGGGGACCTATCATTTGTCACGTCACCTCCTCTCAATGTCCCCCTGCAGCTGCTACTCCAATCAGCTAGCCCACAACTACCATTTTGCAGCTCATGGTGAGGCTCCCAGTCAGTTACTAGTTATTGGTTTACTAGTTATTGGTTACTAGTTATTGCTTACTAGTTATTGGTTACCAGTTATTGCTTACTAGTTATTGCTTACTAGTTATTACTTAGCTCCCATGAACCCCAAGAATCTTCCCTGGCTGTCAGGGGACCCCAAAAGTGATTCATCTGGCCCGGATGGTTCCCTCTTGACATATAACAGAACGGGTGACACTGGCCACTCCTAAAAACAGTCACCTCCACCTAGCTGTCCCTGCCAGACCACTTTGCCCTGTCAGCCAGATTTCTTCCAAGAACCTTCCAGATGTCTGGTTTCCTCTGAAGCACAGGATCCTGGAGGCAGCTTTGATCTTACTTTAGAAAGCCAGGTCTGTTTAGAGTCTCCTTTTCTGCTTTGCTTGCGCTTCTAGATCCTTCCACTGCCAAAATTGCCATTGCTGCTTCTGAGAGCTAAGTGCAGCTGGAAAGCCTTTGATCACAGCAGACACCCTTCTACTTGTGAGCAGCTCTGCTCTGGGTCAGTCAGGGAGGAGCATGGCCCTCCCTTCCAGGTGGGGCAGGCCTCAGATGGGCCTTCTGTAAGCTCGGCTCAGAGCCTTCGACTCCATCATGAATGCCGGGTAGCTACTGAGAAATAAAGTTCAGACAGGGCAGTTAACTGCCCCAACACCATACAGCCGAAAGGCCAGACTGAGCCTCTGAAGCCCCCCAGCTCTAAGAAACATGGTTTTTGCTGTCTCTGTGCTGTCCTGAAATTCACTCTATAAACCAGGCTGACCTCATACTCACAGAGATCCGCCTGGCTCTGCCTCCAGAGTGCTGGGATTAAAGGTGTGTGTCACTGCCACCCAGCTGCTGTCTCTATTTCTGCTGACGTGTCTCATACACCCTGGTCATCTATGCCCACCTTGTTTCTTTCTGCAAAGCGTTTGTGCTTTTGTGACCACGGGTCCCAGCATACATCCCATCCCCACCCTGGCCTTGGCATCTCAGAGTATAGATTACTCCTGACCCTCACTCAGTCAATCAGCTTTTCCTTTCCTTCCTTGTTGTCTGTTTGGCAGGTAGCCAAGGGACCGTCCGTCCCAACAATGTGCAGCCCCAAATGCGCTTTAAGGAGTAAGTAGGTTCCGTATGGATCTTCTCCCAATAGAAGGAATAACATCCGAGTGACAGTGTGTCTGCAGCCTTTGTGTGACATGGCTACCTATTTTCTGAGGAGGGCACCAAGGGCACATTTCCCCTGCAGGGACTCCAACTCTGCTGAGTTGACCCTGGCAGGAGGACAGGCCTGTCTTGGATACTATGGCCTCTCTGGCCAAGGCACAGGATCTATGAAGTAGCCATGTGTTAGCTCACAATGGAGACCTGGCCTGAGATCTCACGGGCCCCCTTTGGGGGAGGTTAGACCCATTGCCCCAGCAGGCTCTCTGACCTCAAGAGACTACAGCTTTTCACAGCTCTGCCTTTATTAATGTCTCAAAAGATGCTCATTCGACCCCAGGTACAAGGCCACCTCAGGTCCCCAAGGTCTCCTTCTTAGCCCTGCAGCACAGGTGAAGCCGTTGAGCACCTCAGAGAGGTATGGGCTTCACCTCTTGTCACACAGCTTTTGGAGCCCACTACCCCCACCCTAGGTGCCTCTGAGAAACCAGGTTATATGGAGCAGGAACAGGTTTCTGTTCCTCTTTCAGCTTGAAAGGCTCTGAGCTCAGCTTAGGTAGGGCCAGCAGGCTATCAGAGGCATCCAATTTCATGGTTATGGCCAACAAGAGATGGGATAGAAATTTTCCTCCTGGAGACTGTGCTATTGCCTGGCCTCCAATGCTTTTCTGTCCTTGGCAGGGGTGAAGGAGTAGGGTAGGCTGTGTAAACTGTATCAGCACCTGGAGCTGCAGTGGGCTGGTCTCTGTTTGATCTTTTCCACCCTAATTACCTAGCACTGACTACGAGGCGGGGGGGATGAAGCCTAGAAGGGAAGGGGAGAGGAGAGGCAGTGAGCCTGGCCAGCCAGGACTTGTGTGCCCACGGGTGTGCCAGGAATCATAGAAAATGCATGCCCCCTCCTACCCCTGCCCCTTCCAGACCTGGTCCTGGCAATTCTCCAGCCTCCTTCTCTAAAGGCTGTATGGCATGCGTGTGCTTTGAAGAGCTTGCTTTATGTTATATTTGTGTGTGTGTGTGTGTGTGTGTGTGTGTGTGTGTGTGTGTGTTCCAGAGGCTCACATCAGATGTCTTCTTCAATGTCTCTCCAACTTATTTTTTCTTTAGGCCAGTATCTCTCATTGAACCTGGAGCTTCCTGATTAGGCTAGACTGGCTGTCCAGTCAGCTCCAGGGATCTCTGTCTGAACGTCCCCAGCACTGGGGTTCCACACATACACAGCCAATGAGGAGGAGGCTCAGTTGGTTACCTAGCACCAACAAAGCCCCGAGTTCCATCCTCAGCACCACCTAAATCAGGCACAGTGATGCATGCCTGCCGTCCCAGCACTTAGGAGTTGGAAGCGGGAGTTCAGGGTCAGAGATCTCAGGGAGTTAGCCCAGTCAGTAAAGCGCTTGCCTTGTAAGCCCAAGGCTCTAGCTCAATCCCCAGACTCCGTGTTTAAAAATAATTAATTAATTAAAGCTAACAGTGAGGCTACAGGTTTGCAATACTGGTTACAAGGAAGTGGAGATGGGGGGCTCCCTGGTGCTTGCTGGCCAGTCAACCTAACCTGCTTAGTCAACCTAACCTGCTTGACAAGTATCAGGCAAGAGAGACACTGTCTCCAAAACAAGGTGGACGGTGTCTGAGGAATGGCATCTGAGGTTGTCCTTTATGCTCCTCTCACAGGTATATACACTTACATGCCCATGCAAACACACACACACACACACACACACACACACACACACAATTTGATGCCAGCCTGGACTACCTGAAGCCCTTTCTCAAAAACAGAAAAAGAAAGAGAACAGTTTCCTTTCTCCAGTGGTGGCTGGCAGTGTCTAGGTGGCTCCTTTCCTTTGTGAGTCATGAAGGCTGGTACATGGAAACATTTCCATATAACTTACGTGCTGTAACCCCAAACTGGATCAACCAGGTCAGAGCCGATCTTACATGAACTCTCCCCGACAGTCGCCAGGCTGTCTCCCAAGTGTCTTCATCATATGATGTCCCTGCTGGGATCCCATGGCTCTCTACCTCCTTGACACATGTCACCATGTGGCTCTTTAGTCACAACCATCCAGGAGGGTGTGAGCTGGTTTCTTACTGAGGGTTTGGTATGAGTTTCCCAGATGAAAGAAATACTGAGTGTGTTCCCATGAACTTCATGACTCTGTGTGAGTGTGTGAGTGTGTGTGTCTGTGTCTGTGTCTGTGTCTGTGTCTGTGTGTGTGTGTTCACATGCAGGCCAGAGGTCAACTTTGGGAGTCCTTCTTCAGGCACCATCTACTTTTTTTTTTCTTTTCTTTTTGAGACAGGGTCTCTGACTTTCACCTAGAACTCACCAAGTAGGCCACACTGGCCAAGAGTGACTCCCAGGGTCCTCCTGTCCTGCCTCCCAGCATGGGAGTTATGAGCATGTGCCATCATACTCAGTGTTTTACATGAACGCTTTACATGGAGCTTGGGTCCTCATGGTTCTGGTGGTTATTGACACCAATTTACCTATCCAGACCCCATTTGTAGTTCTTTGGAAACTTATAGCTCCTGGCTTTGCCTGCCTGTGGCTTTGCCCACCCATGTAAGTGGTTCCTTTTGGGGCTAGGCTGTAAGTGCTCTTTGCAGATAAATACTAGAACTTCCTCTGGAGAATGATTGGCATTTTCTCTGCCCTCTGGAGCCTGAATCAATCTTAGGAGATCAGAGTGTGAGTAGGAAGCACCTCTCATTTTGACAGGGTCTGACTTTGACTCCCTGTGGCTGGAGTTCTGCTCTGTAGACTCTCAGGGTATGGGATCAGAGGGGATGGTGAACTGGTGAACACTGCATGGTAAGGCCTGAGGTGCCTCTGGGGCAGTACTGTGGGCATTGCTAGGAGTGATGGCCACTGACTGGACCTATCCTTCTCCAGCCAACAACATCTGCTTCTACGGGGAGTGTTCCTACTACTGTTCCACCGAACATGCCCTTTGTGGGAGGCCCGACCAGATTGAAGGATCTCTGGCGGCCTTCTTGCCTGACCTGTCACTGGCCAAGAGGAAGACATGGCGGAACCCCTGGCGTCGTTCCTACCACAAGCGAAAGAAGGCAGAGTGAGTCAGGCACTTGGGACTTAATGGGGCAGCTTCTGTCCACTGTGCAACCAAGGTCACTGAGCCTGGAATAGGGAGTCAGTAGTCCATGGCTCAGAGTCAAAAGAGGCAGCAAGAACAGTGCAAAGCCAGCTGTGCTTGTGCCACTGTGAGATAGTGGCAGCAGTATGTCTTGGTTACTGTTGCTGACGAAGATGGCTTTGGCTCACAGTTTGAGGGTTTGGTCCGTCGTTATGAGGGAGGCATGGTAACAGAAGCATGAGGTAGCTGGTGACAGTCAAGAAGCACAGAGACAGATGAGCCCACTTTCCCTATTTTATTCAGGCCAGGGCCCCAGCCTAGGGAATGGTGCCGCCCACACACATTCAGAGTCAGTCTTTGCTTCAGTTAAACCTCTCTGGAAACATCCTCACAGACACAGCCAGAGGTGTGTTGGCATGATTCCAAATCCAGTCACATTGACAATATTAGCCACCACAGGGTTCCTATCTGTGATGTAGAAGAGGTGCTAGCTGATATTGGTAACCCTTAAAATACAACCTCCCCCACCCACTGCCTGTCGGGTGCTGGAAAAGACACATACACACCATTGGCATAAAACGCATGATATCAACTGACAATGCCTTCAGCCCTGGGCCCACCTAGGGCAGGAAGAATAGCTTCATCACCTTCCAGGCTTCTATCCCTATTAATTCAGCCTATCCTAATGCGTGTCCCTGAAGACACTCCATTCCCATTGCGAATCCTCTTTGCGAAGCGTGCTCTTTACAAAGGGTGCTCTTCTGAGCCAGGCAGCACCAAATAATCTAGCCTGGACCTCCCTCTTCACTCAGAGGAGAGACCCTCGTTCTGGGTTTCACACTATCCCCTTCTTCCTCCTCCCCCACAGGTGGGAAGTGGACCCTGATTACTGTGAAGAGGTGAAGCAGACTCCACCCTACGACAGTGGCCACCGAATCCTGGACATCATGGACATGACTGTCTTTGATTTCCTCATGGGTACGTCCTGCAGGGCATGCTGGCTGCCAGAAATGCCTAAACACCTTTAGCTGGGGGCACCATCTGGTGACCCACAGCTGAGGAGGGCCAGAGGCCTCTGAGCAGCTGTGCGTGCTTGTCCCTGCAGGGAACATGGACCGGCATCACTACGAGACCTTTGAGAAGTTCGGGAATGAGACCTTCATCATACACTTGGACAACGGGCGTGGGTGGGTCTTCTGTGCCCTTGGAGACCCTGGGGTTCTATACATCCTCGTTTATGGGGGAACTAGGTTAGCCTGAGAAGCAATCATTGGGACAGGGGAATCACCTGAGAGGCAGGGACTGGGTCACATCGGGGTATACATCAGTGAGGAAGTGAAGACTACCACAAGGTGCTGGATTCATGGCCGTAACCACATGAGTACTTTCTATCATACCTTCCTTACCCTGGGGAAACTGAGGCCAAAGGGCCTGTGGCTGGATGAGAAGGGCCAACAAGCAGTCAGTTCAGTCTGAGAGAGGTCATTAACCTCTGCTTAACAAAGCAGAATCCCTTTCAAACAAAACAAAACGAAAAGAAAAAAATCAATACTGCCAGCGCTGGACATGGCCAGGGGCAGCCTCGACACTAATGAGCTTCATGAGATTGTCATGGTCCTACAGCACCACAGCACTGGGAGGCGGGACCCTGAGGGCTTGGCGCTGGGCCCCGTAAGGCTTTCCAGCTGCTAGGGCTCTGACTGCTCTACCTTCGTCCCACAGGTTTGGGAAATACTCACACGATGAGCTTTCCATTCTAGCTCCCCTTCACCAGTGCTGCAGGTACGTGCCCAAGCCGTGCGTGGTCTCTCACTGCCCCCTGGCAGCCATCACTACCCGAGAGGCCTGTTCACACCCACTGGGGCTCCGGTGGGCAAGCATCCACAGAGCAAGCATGCCCATGCCTCACTGACCTTTCTTCCCTAAGCCTCATCTGGATAACCCCCACCAGGGAGACCCCAAGGCCTGAAACAGGCTGTAAGTCCAGGGTCCTTCTCTCCTGGCCATGGCTTCCAGATTCGCCCACCCTACCCACCTTCCACAGTCGCTCATACCTACCCTCCCCTGACCCCCAGTGGCTGGACATAGGCTCCCAAAGCGAATTACTTCTCTCCCTTGGGAGGCAAGTGCACCTGGCCAGCTGAGGAAGGACAGTCTCCCAGGTGAGCGGTTAGCCTAGTCTTGCCCTCAGGACAGGGGGTGCCCATCTAGCCACCTGTCTTTCTGGATAGGACTGTAGCAATGTCTAGGACAGCGGTTTCTCAACCTAAGGGTCATGACCCCTCTGAGGTGGAATGAGCCTTTCACAGGGGCTGCATATCATATATTTACACCCTGATTCATAACAGTAGCAAAGCTACAGTTACGAAGTTGCAATGAAAATGATCTTATGGTTGGGGGGTCGGTCAGCACAACACGAGGGACTGTATGAAAGAGCTGCAGCACTGGGAAGGTCTAGAACCACTGGTCTAGAACCACTGGTCTAGAATGCCCCGTCTCCATGTAACAGACTCATGAGGCCTGGGGTCTCTGGCCTCCTTGTCTCTTAGTTTGTCTTGCTCTGTTTCTCTCTCTCTTCTCTTCTCTCTCTCTCTCTCTCTCTCTCTCTCTCTCTCTCTCTCTCTCTCTCTCTCTCTCTGCCCTCTTTTTCTCCGAGTCTGTCTCTCCATCTTTCTGTCTCTTGTCTTCACATTTCCGTGTGTCTCTCTCCGTGTCCCTGTCTGTCTACACCTCTCTGCCTCTCTCTCTCTCTCTCTCTCTCTCTCTCTCTCTCTCTCTCTCTCTCTGTCTCTCCAGTAATATGCCACCCCACCAGAGCCCCCACTCTCTTTCCTTCCCAGTAGTGACACCCCATTCTCTCTGCAGGATCAGGAGGTCCACCTACCTGAGGCTTCAGCTGCTGGCCAAAGAGGAGCACAAACTGAGCCTGCTGATGGCTGAGTCCCTGCAGCATGACAAGGTCGCACCCGTGCTCTACCAGCTGCACCTGGAGGCCCTGGACCGGCGGCTGCGCATTGTGCTGCAGGCTGTTCGAGACTGTGTAGAGAAGGATGGGCTGAACAGTGTGGTGGAGGACGACCTAGCCGCTGAGCACAGAGCCTCCACGGAGAGGTAGTGACCACACTACCTGTGAGGAAGGAGGAGCACAGAGCCTAGCCCTGTGAATTCAGTGAATTCGGACAGGATTGGTCATCCCCATAGGGTGACCTGCGGCAGGGAGCATGGGGTCTCCCTCATGGCTCTGATAGGGAAGTATGGGCCTCCAGTTCCAGCAGAAACCAGACAGAGCACTCTGGACATGCAGCAGAGTGGCCAGCGCTCCATCCTTCCCATAGGGAGGAACCTTTAACTCACTATTTTGTACTTAACAAAAGGCTCACAGTCCTGTCAAAGGAGAAACACCCAGCAGACCAGAGATCACCTCTGGGCCACTTCAAGGACCTCCTATGATGTGATCACACTCTGGCCCTCAATTACAATCCACTTTCTGCTCCCCATCCTGGGGCCTCCTCTCTCAAAGGCCAGAGAGCTCTTAGAAGGGGGACAGTGATGGACATCATGGCCTGTGTTGGGGCAGATGGGCACCCAAGAAAGGGTTTTTGGATACCAATGACAAGCTATCCACCTGTCCACTGCTGCATAGCAGTCAGGCCTTACTAGTTGGTGGTGGGCACTGCCTGCCTTGGCTGAGCTCTGGACAGTGGGTGTCAAGACAGTACACAGAGCCCATGGCCTCAGGACAGCAGGCTAACATTGGGACATTTTCGTGGAGTAGTTTGCAGTGAGGTAACAGTGCAATAAAGATACAGCAAGCGTGTGCCATGGCTGTCTGGGGTGGGGACTCACTCCTTGTCACAGCTGTCCCCCTAGATAGCCCCCAAATGAGGCTAATCCCTGCTCTTATGGTGTCTGTGTGATGTGGGTCTTCAGCCTGTTAGGGCTGTGAAGGGAGCTGCCTGCCCAGCCCCTAAAAGGTAAGCAGGCTAGCAAGGCTCCAAAGGGGCGGGGCAAGGGGGGGATAGGAGGTCAGCTCTGTCTTGCCCCACTCCTGCAAAGCTTTGGGCTCCGAGCCACAGGAGGCCCTCTAAGGATGGGATCCACACAGCCCTACATAGGGCCACAACATACCTGAGCAAGAACCATAGAAGGGGTTGTCCAGGGGCCCATGAGAGCTGCAAGCCACTGCACTGCTGGCTCCAAGGCTCAGATCCCCTCTGCTGGAAGGTGTCTCCTACCTCCTTCTAGTAAGCTGCTGCCAGACTGGACAGGGGCCAGGCCTTGTCCAGGAGAGGACAGTGGGGAGGACCCACAATGGAGCTGTGCACTGCTGAGTCACAAGAATGCCAAACAAACAATGGCCTGCCCCTATTCCAGGCATTCCCAGCTGTCACCCTGTGGCTTGTTCACATGCCACTCCCCTAGCAGGGGATGGATGCTCAGCAGGAATTCACCAAGGCACTAAAACTCAACAGTTAAGTCCTTGATGTTCTCAGATGCAATAGTACACGGTCTGCTTATTGTATATATACACGTACATGTCTATATGTAGTTCAGGGTGTGTGTGTGTGTGTGCGCGCGCGCGCGTGTGTGTGTGTGTTTAGGCCAGGGCTTGAGGTCATGCATCTTCCCCTGCCACCCTCTAATTTTTCAAGACAGGTTCTCTCTCTGAACCTGGAGCTCACCAATTGGTTTAACTGGTTGGCCTGTGATTCCCCGGGGACACACTTGTCTCTGCCTCCCCAGCACTGGAATTCCAGATGTGCACCTCTGTACCTGGTCCCTTGTGTATAATCTGAGGATGGAACTCGGACCCTCAGGAAAGCACTTCATGGCCTGAGCCATCTTCCCATCCCTATTTTCCTCCTTTAATGGGAGAGTGAGGCTGAGATACAGAAAGCCAGCAGATTCCTGAGTTGGCAAACTCGATGCCACATACTTAGACACTTAGGGATGATAAGGCCAGCTAGACCCCAAATCCCTACCTTGTCTCAGGGAATGTTCTATACAGCATACCAGCAGATGGACTAAGACCACTGGACCACCAAGGAAATGAAACAGTGATCAAGCACACCCCCCAGACTTGCCTCCCATCTTCCTGTCTCAGCACAAGGCCCAGTATTAACCCCACTCATCAAGAAGGAAGCATAGAACCAACCATCTAGCAGTCTGGCCAAGAACAGAGTTCAGCCTTCCTTGTCCAGTGTGCCAATTCCAATGTAGCCTTCCAATAAGTGGGGTATAAGTGTTGGCTTGTGCATGTGTCCTGTCCATGACCACAGAGGTCACAGGACATCTCATCACGATTACCTCCATCCTTCCAAGATCCTCCACTATTAACCCCCCACAGACCCCCGTGGCAGGCCAGGCTGAAAAGCATGCCTTCATCCCTGGGTTACAGAAGCAACAGAGATAAAGACATGATCAAGTCACTAGACCTGTGAGGATTGCAGATGGACAGACATCACCCAGGGCAGACATCTATAAGGTATGAAGGGAGGTACCAGGCACATCCCATATCCATGGGTTGATGTCCAACTCCTGGTGTGACTGGGGACAGGACCGTGGTGGAAGACAGGAGGATGAATGAGTTCACCCAAATGGCCCTAATCCAGGGCAGTAGGTCCTTATAAAATGAGGTCAATCCAGGTGTGGCAGCTAATGCTGGTAATTCTAGCATCTGGAGAGCTGAGGCAGGAAGATGGCCAAGAGTTTCATGCTAGCCTGGGCTAGAGTAAGACCCCCATCTCAAAAAACAAAACAAGTCCAGTGAGATGGCTCAATGGGTAAAGGTACTTACCACCAAGGCTGACAATCCGAGTTCAGTCCCCGGGACCCACAGTGGAAGGGGAGAGCATATGGTTGTGAGCCATCAGGCACAGAGAGTGAATTCAGTGCAAATGGCAAGACCAGATGCTGAGCTAAAGACTGGGAGTGCATACAGAATGCTGGTGTTCACAGGGAGTCCATGCCCCCCCTCCCTCCCTGAGAGAGGGTCAAGAGGTCAGTGAGAGGGGCCGTGGGACTCAGAGTCCTCTGCCCACTCTCATCTGCTGTACCCACTATAGGACAGCATAGATACTCAGACTAGAGTAAAGCCCATGCGGTGGCCTAAGGTCAAACGCAGACCAGGTGCTTCATGGGATGATGGCCAGTCTTCTGGCTTTTCTCTGCCCTCTGTGCTTACTTGGCTTCATGGAGCCTCAGCTAAGCCTGCACCCACAGAAGATAGGCTAACCACACCTGCTCTTTTACATCCTGCTGGCCCACCATGAATGACCACACAGTCCCTGTGGTGGGTACTACAAGTCTCTAGAGCACTGGTTCTCAATCCTGCAGATCACGTCTTTACACTAAGATTCATAATCGTCATAAATTTATAGTTTTGAAGTAGTAATTAAATAATTTTATGCTTGGGGGTCACAACAACATGAGGAACTGTATTAAGTTTTTGAAATCTGTAAGAGGGCTTTAGGGGGTTTTAGAGATGGCTCAGTGGTTCAGAGCTGCTCTTGCAGAGGACCTGGGTTCAGTTCCTAGCATGCACACGGTGGCTCACAACCATCTGTAACTTGTTCCAAAGAATCCAGTGCCCTCTTCTAGCCTCCATGGGTACCAGGCATGCATGTGCTACATATACATACGTGTAGGCCAAACACTCATGTACATTAAAAATAAAACGATGTTCAGAGATTCAAGAGGGGACCCGAAGAGCCAAGGGGATGAAACTCGTGTCAGCTAGCGTCCTTTGATGTGCGTGCGTGCGTGCGTGCGTGCGTACGTACATGCGTGCGTGCGTACGTACATGCGTACTCTCGGCTTCTTGCCTGCAGTCCTCTTTCCAACCCTCTCCACATTCTATCATTCTAGCCTCACTGCCGAACAGTTTAAAGTACCAAGTACCCAATCAAAACGTGAATCATTCGATATGGGAGACGACGGAGCTAAAATATATAAGAAGACACGTCCACACTACACTGAGGCTCTTTCAGACTTTAGTATTAATCCATTGAGAGAAACTTCCGGAAGAGAAGGCCTTGGTGCACCACAGCTGCTCAGAAAGCTTGCAACAAGGATGGGCAGAGATTAGGTACCACTCTCAGCCGGTTGCTGCCTTCTAACCCCAGTGCATTCTGCCCTTTGCTCACACCTTCACCAGTTTTGCATTTGAGTGCGGGTGAGACAGACCACGAAGGACCCAGAGACAGTAGCTGCATGCTGTAATCACCATGGACAAAGCCATCAGTACACTTATCAACGTTTACTTATCCCTCAAGTAAACTAAGATCTTAGGGTCTAACCCAATGGACCGCTTCCAAACCCATCCTGATTACTGGATGGACTGAGTCCAGGACTATCAGCTATTGTCCAGCCAGATGGCCCTGGTGGTTAGCCAGTTGCTCTGAGGACACCACAGTCACTTTGAGGAAGCTACACAGCAACCACAGCTACTTGCTGCTGACACACAACTCTAGCTTCAAAGATGACACTGTCTTAGCCAAACAGTTTTACTCGTGGTAGTGGTGGTGGTGGTGGTGGTGGTGGTGGTGGTGGTGGTGGTGGTGGTGACAACTGTCTTAGGGTTTTATTGCTGTGAAGAGACACCATGACCACAGTGACTTTTATAAAGGAAAATATTTAATTGGAGCTGGCTTACAGTTTCAGAGGTTTCAGTCCAACATCGTCATGATGGGAAGGCATGGTGCTGGAGAAGGAGGTAAGAGTGGCCCACAGGCAGCAGACAGAGACTGTCACAGTGGGCATAGTCTGAGCATATGAGCTTTCAAAGCCCTGCCTTCACATGGACACACTTTCTCCAACAAAACCATACTTCCTAATAGTGCCATTCCCTATGGGCCAAGCACTCACACGCATGAGTCTATGGGGGCCATGTGTATTCAAACCACCACAGTTATGATGATGATGATGACTCAGTGGTAGAGGCAGAAAGGCAGCTGGAGAATCCCAGAGGAGACCAACAGCAATACCAGGAAGCAGAGACAATGGAGACAATGAGAGGGAGCAGAGAGGCCGAGATCCCAAGGATGGAAGATTGAGACTAAAACTGTGAACCACATAGGCTGAGAGAGCTCCATGTATCTGCCAAGACTCAGGGGCTGACAGTCCCAGCCTGGGGCCTTGAGAGCTGAGACACTGGCTGCTGTAGAGATGGGGGCCCCACACCCAAGGCCTATTTGGAAACTGTGGCTCTAACAGACACACCTGCCGTTCACTGATGCCGTTCACTGATGCTGGAAGCTGAGGGTTACAACAGCTTCCAAGTGCCAGTGGTTAAATCTCAGAGCAATAGGCCTCCACCTGAGCACCTAGAGGCATAGTCCTGGGGCTTCAAAAGCCAGGAGCACTAGGGCCCTGGCTCTGGGGGCTTAGAACTGTGAGCTTCTGGCTCTGCCTGTCTAGTCTCTAGGCCTTTGGTACTCAAGGTCTGAGGACAGCCAGCCTAGAAGACCTCCCAAATACCCACCATCTGTTGTTCTGTTTGGCTTCTAAGACCATGTTTCTTCTAGCCCAGCCTAGCCTCAAACTTGCTCTATATTAATAGCTGAGGATGACCTTGAATTCCTGAATTCTCCTGCCTCCACCTCCACAATGCTGGGGACATGGGCATGTGCTCCATGCCTGGTTTATGTAGTGTTTGCAATGAAACCCAAGAATTCACACTACATCATGAGCTTAAAGCCAGCCTGAGATCTACGAGACCTTGTTTAAAAACAAAGCAATACAAAAACAACAGCAGGGCTGGAAGAATTGCTCAGTAGTTATCTCCCTTGCAGAAAACCTGAGTTCAGTTCTCAGCACCTATATCAG